TCAGATGACACCCACGCAGATCGAAGGGGAGCCTGGATCGACGTCGGCCGACGGAGACGACGCTGCCGAGTCTGCCGGTCCGGGCGAATCCGCCTCAGAGTCTGTCCCCAGCCCTGGCGACTCGACCGGCTCGGGGGATTCTGCTGTGGTCGATGATCCGACGTCTGCATCCCTGGGCACCACCACGGGGTCGGACAGCACTCCGTTTCCTTCATCCGCGACAACGGCCACCGAGGACGGCGTCGCGCCTGAAATCACTTCCGACGAGACGGCTCCTCTCCAGAGCGAGGCTGTCGGGGTACTGCCGACAGCCGCGACACCTTCATTCGCCACAGGTGCCTCGTCCGGCCTTGACATCCAGGCCCTCTGGATGCTTCTATTCGCGTCAATCGTTACTGCCGCCATCGTGCACTAGGCTTTACTGGAGCGCGTGCAAGTGAGCAGCAGCAGTGCACAAAAATCGGGCTAGGTATTCGAGTAGATCCAATTCATTAATCGCGCGCGTACTGCGCAACCTAATCAAGTTTATCCCCTAGCTCCACCCCACGGCTGTCGCGATGCGAATACTAGGAAGTCGCTGAGATCGTGCGCAAGGTTGTGTCCCATGCCCCCCCCCGCCGTGCCCTCCGTCAACTGCTTCTAGCTCGACCTCGAGATCATGCGGCATGCTTCGCCTGGTGTCCCAGCGGACACAACTCTGGAGCGAGCCGCTCGCGGCCAGGCTGGTTGCCACGGATGCGCAACCGGTAGTGTCAGATGTGTAGCAAGCCGGGGCGAGATACCTGCCGTGCACGAGCCCTGCCAGGGGACTCGAAACCGAACTCCCCGAACCAGTTGACGATGTCCTCCAGCTCGTCGTCAGACCGGCGCATGGGTTCTGTGCTGCCCGAGTATAAGTCGCCGGCACCTCCGAGTATAGCGACCTGGAAGGCTGTCTAATCCAGCGTCTTGTCTGGCATGATGCTTGTGTTCACCAAGGAGCCGGACTTGGGGACGTTGATGCGGCCGTGACGGAACGTTAGCATGTTCATGGTGTATGGCGTCGAGTGTAAGAGTATGGCATCGTCGTTCGTAGACGGCGCGAAACAGCTCGCGAGTGCACCTCGGCTTGCTCCCAGTGCTTGAGGGGGGAGGGGCGGCGGCACCGGAGCGCTGGCAACGGCCTCAGGCGGTGCGTCGGCGTCAGTGAGGGAGGCCACCGACACTTGGTCTGCCGCCGGGGCAGTCCCGACGCCAGAAGACAGAATCCGCCTTGAAAGGTTCTGCAGATGGAACGGATCCACTGGTGTCTGGCTGCTCTCCTCGGCATCTGACGTTGGCGGTGTATTGCTGGGCCTGAGTCCGCGGCACCAGGGCTGCCCGCTGCCACGGCGTGCCGAGGCAAGTCGACGGAGCGAGGGCACAATCTCGTCGGCCTCGATCTTCCCCAGTACATGGTATTTGATTGTTCTTGTAATGCAAGAAAGACGTGAAGATGCATGTCTCGTCGACCGCGGTGACCTCGACGTAGTGGCTGGAGGCATGGTGGCCGGGGTAGGCAATATGGAAGATGGGCTTTCCCCCCTCTTCTCTGACGTGGAGGGTTGAGTGACAATGGCCTAAGGGAAGCACACTAGCCCTGGTCTCTTCGCGGCATGGCGTGAAGAAGCGCAGTCACATACTGAGAATAGAACCACTTATGGACCGTGGACGCCACAACTTAACACTAGTTCGGGCCTTGCACAGCCGGCTACCCACCAACCGGGATTCAGAGTGCCTTTGATCTGGTGGCCCTCTGCCACCTTTAGACGGGCTGGACCCTCTTCTAGGAATAGGGTTCAGGCCTCCAGTCCCGATCAGTAATTTGGATTCAGGGCTAAGGCACCTCCGCAGCACATTGCTCCCTGTGCACTGCCCCGACTTGACAGGCACTGCCCATAGGGCTGCAGCACAGCCAAGCCTTTCGGCCATGATGGCTTCATCAGGAGGTAATTCTGGGTGGCTTTGGAACTATAAAGTAACGTTGATCCTCTGCTCATTGCTTTCGCCTTACCATTCTCATCGTCATCATTCACATCAGCATCCCAGCATCATTCCATCATCATAGCATTCAATCATCGGCATTCTCATACACTTCCGTCTTCACACCGGCATCATGAAGTTCTCCCTCGTTACATTTCTCCTCTCCACCACTGCCATCGTTGCGGCAAAGCCTGTCTCTCTCAACTCTACTACCACAACCGACAAGCCCACTGCCACTGGCGTGCCTCAAGCAGCCCAGACTCTCTACCCATCCCTTCAAGTCCGTTTCAAGTCCAAGGAGCCAAACACTCTTGCCCGCCACACAAACACCGGCCATCTCCTCAGCAACCCCAACGAGGAAGTCCACACAGCTGTCCTCTTCGAAGTCTCCGAGGCCCAGGTGGCCGGCAAAACCTGCCGCTTCGTCTTCCGTCTCTCTCAGGATGACTGGGCCATCGGTCCTGGCAACTCACCTGCTCAATTCGACATCTACCGCTGGGGCGGATGCCTTAACGACGACTATGCTTGGTCGACTCGTCCGGCCCCAGTAATCCACTCCGGGACTGTTACACCCAAGAAGGGACAAGAGGCCGTCTGGAGTTCAATCGACATGAGGGCGTGGCCATCGGAGCCGTACCTGGGATCGTCGCCGGATTTCCCCTGCCAGAGTGGCGAGCTTAGCTTTGAGATGGTTGCAACACCCGGAAGCAACATTGGCTGGACCAACGGCAGGGGCGGTGGATTGAGCCTTGTCGTTGTTTAGATCCACGGGCTGTTTCTTGGCATTGGAGCGTTCTGCAGTATTAGCATGCTGCATAGCAACAGGTTCGACCTCGGTTCAGGTCTAGTAGACATCACCAGCAATCAATTTCTGTCATCTTTCTACCTGAATATCATCTTCCAATGCCAATCACCCCCTAGTGACATGCCCTTGAAACCGCAGAATCCAGGAGCTTCACCATTTACGCAGCGCTTGGCCAACGTCGGTCCCTTGAGCCGCAGCACTATCGATGTCAAGCGCGTTTGCCTCCGAGTCAGCCATGTCCCACACCATGCACAATCTCCAAAGCCACATCGACACCGACCGCCCTCAGCTTCTCCGCCGCGTTCGTGCTCTGACTGATTCGACCAAATCCTCTGCCATTCCGTGCACGAGAGCAGTCGGGGGATAGTCCTTAGTCAGACCAAAGACGACCGGAAAAACTTTCGATGCTCGGGCTTGATCACTTCCCCGCCCGACTCCCTGATCTGCTGAGAAAGCCCCGGGACTCCGGTGATAATCTCTGGGAATAGTGCAAGTTGCTTGATGGCGGTAATCCGCATCCACTCGGCAATTTCGCCCTTTGTGTCGATGGTGTAGACACATTTCAACTGTGGACGACAGTCGACCGTACCCTCCATCAGAGACTGTCTAACCCAAAGGAGCGACGGAGGAGCGGGTCATTGGCGGATGGGAGGAGACGCGCAGACTCGGCGGAGCTCATGACAAACCACGACGCGAGGAGTGGTATAAAGACCGGAGGGACGCCCGGCTGGCCTGGTTTCCAACTTTCCCTTCTACATAACGCAAGCCTACTAACGAGAGCCAATTTTTCCACTTGTTCCATCTTTGGCCCGCACTTGGAGAGTGATCGTAACACGATCGAACGGAGTGAGCAATGGCCTACTACAAGCAGTACGGATCTGGGTATCGAGGCGGTAGCCGGAGTGCGGGGCGGTTCTCTTCCCGTCCTCGTTCGTACACGACCAGTTGCGGGAGGGTATCCCGAACGGTGTACGGGTATTCGCGAGCAAGCGGAGGGGCGCGGAGCAGCATAGCCTCACCAGTTGTCAAGTACGGAGACCCTATGCATGCGTATTTCACCACGATCCCCATCCCTCTCTATGATCAGGGGCCCTCGACTGGAGCGAACTACCTGGTGGTTCCGTTGTCCGGGTGTGTGGACAGTGTGCTGCAGAATGCGAAGAAGACGAGAGTCTATGTCGCCGGTTTTCGGCTGGAGGCCGATGTGCGCTTCTCTAGGCGTCTGCGTTGTTTTGTTCAGAGCGTCCAAACTTGTGTCAAGGACGGGGAGGGTCAGGTCCTCTTGAGTGCTGGGTCAATGCAGGGCGAGTTCGACCCGGGTCAGCAGGGTCTCATGAGTATGGAAGACCCGCGCCTCCAACAGCTTAGAGAACCCTTATACACACGCCTCGGGAACGACGGGACGCTTTTCGGTGCCGATGTAAAGTCTGGTGCGCCTTTCCGTCCGGGCGTGAAGCTCCAGAAGGATGGAGGGACAGAGAAGATCGGGACGCGGGGACGTGTCGAGACGGAGCTGGGGCGAGGCAACCTTGGGGCGACGACATCGATGGAAACGGAGAGGCTATCGGCCTATATTCCTGTAAAGGGCTTGTACACGATGGGGACCGATAGGCGTGATGTTCTTCTCATTGGCCTTCGGGCGAAGACGATTCTGAACCTTCCCAACGCGGAGGTTGTTACGGGAAGGCGCGTCGGACTTCTGGAGAATGTTCGGGTCATCGTATACATGCGTTCGAAGATGACTTGATTGGGTTTGCGGTCTTTTTTTCCTAGAGTCTTGGTTAGTAGTAGTAGTGGCTTTCTAGTTGAGTAATTCAACCTGTTGAAATGAGTATGATCGGAGTGCTTGTGATAACGAACTTTGACTACTACCTTTATGTATCGACAAAGACGCCCGTATTATCATACTGCCACCACCACAGCAGGAGCTAAGCGATGAAGGCATTACCCTGGCACTATATACGCACTATACTGTGGTTTCACTCAGGACGCCCTTCCAGAACTGCTTGGGAAAAAACGCCGGTACGGGATTATTTTGAAAATTCCCCGGCTTTCATACTCTTAGAAACTCGGCTTTGTCGGGGCACGTTTCAGTCCGAGTCGTGATATTGACTGGGCGCCGATGTGAGATCACGTGCCTTATTTCGTTACTTACTGAAAACTAACGGACTGCCATTGCGCCAGAAACACCTTAGGCCGCCTAGCGCAATGGTAGCGCGTCAGTTTTCGGCTTTAAATCGCTCACTGAAGGTTGCAGGTTCGAGTCCTGCGGCGGTCGAGCATACGAAAGATCCCACACGGCCAACATGATCATATGATTGCTCTTTTTGCACATCATTTTGTTCGCCCGCACACACTCTACCTCATGCTGACCATTTGGGAGCCTTATAGCACGTGTGGGTGGTTTAATTTGCGTTTTTGGGTTGAGTCCAGGTACTATCAGAGGGATTTGGCCGCATCTGTGAGACTGTGCCAGTAACGTTTTTTTTTTGTCTCAAGGGTTTCACCAGAGTCTTTATCAGTACACTGGACTACTAGCTTTAAACCCTGCGCGACTTTAGGTTAAGCAAGATGTCTTCATCGGCTTCCAGGAAGCCATATCCCACGTGGCCGGCACGGCGAATCAAGACGTGAGGAGGCGCGCGGCGAGTCCGAGGCTGGGCCTCAACCGTCAGGGCGGGCCTTTAGGGTTGGAGAATGGCCATCCACAGACCGCCATGTCGCGGGCGCCTCGGGCCTCTAGCAGATATGACATGACATCCCAGGCGAGGCGGGCGGCTGCAGGACAGGGCGGCATTGTGTGGCCGCAGACTGCAGGCCGGTGGACGTCAGAGGTCCCGGGGACAGGTCAAGGTCGGGATCACCGAAGGGCCCCTGCTCCCCGCACTTCCATCTGGTGGTTGTGACTGGGAGCTCGGCGTCGGCGAGATGATTGCTGGGGCAGATGCAGCCAGTGTCTGTGCGCTTGTGCGTCTGCAGGCCCCATTACCGGGCATGTCTGGTCGATTTTACATGTCAGAGTCCTGGAGAAAAGCAGCATGCGAAACACATTGAAGCATGCGTCTCTCGTCACTTCGCCAGGGATCCATCTTGCGCCCTGTGTCTCTTGTATAGATAGATGCATTTCTGTACCTCCCATCAGCTCTCCCCCTCAAGCCCATTCAACCTCTCGTCTCCTCGTTGAAAAGACGGGACGACAATCGGCAGTCGGCAGTCGGCAGGCTACAGGACGAAACAAGAGGGCGGACGAGGCAGCTGCGCCAGCCCAGCCCGTCAAGCCGGCGCTAGTCCCCGCCAAAGTACCTTTTCCTACCATCCTCACAGAATAGGTACAAGCCAAACTTACCTTACCTCCCTCGCCTTGGCTCTGGTCTCCCCGTCCGGGTTGCGACGAAGAGGAAAGGGCTGCGCTGCGACTGCGACGGGACGGCCGCCCTTTGTCTCTGATGCGCCGCCGCTTCAATTGAACCTGTCCCGTCGGTCGCTCACAATCTTCACCTCTCATCCCAACGCTATCTACTCATCCACGCGACGCGACGCCTGCCTCAGCACTATCTTCTCCAGACGACTCGACTCGACGACAACGCTTCGGGCGCACTGGCAGCTGCATCGACTTGACTCGACTCAACCGCCCTCGACATCCCCCCGGCAGCCCGCGCAACTTGAACACCCTGCTTCCGTCGTCATCCCAAGACTCGGGACCGACTTGAACCTCCCCCGTCGCACGGCATTCCGCGTCGCATGCGCGCACCGGGCCACCATGGTGGGCCGTGAGAATGGGACCTCGACAGCGCACCGCGCCCCGGCCCTGCAGGTCATCGTCTTGGTACGTTTCCGTCCTCCGTCACTCCCCGTCCCCCGGGTCTCCCCAGTTCTTTCCTCCCGCCCGGCTCGCTTCACGCCGCCGGACGGCTGTGAGATGTGACACGGCCGGCCTCCCCCCTCCGAACTTCCCCTCTGCTAGGTGCGGCCCCTGCTAACCTCGCCAGGGCTCCGGCGGCGGCCCGCTCGAGAACAACACATCATCCTTCCTGGTCCGCTCCCTAGCCGCAAAGTGGCAGAGGGGCTCGCTCGTCTCCGTCGATGCTGGCGTCCACCTCGCACCCATCCTTAAGATCCTCCAAGAGACCCAGCCCCCGGATCTCGCCAGTCTGCCTCTCCCGCACGTCCTCCAGGATGGGCCCTTTGCCGGCCTCGAGCTGGAGTCGCCCCACGCCATCAAGAACGCCGCTGCCATCAACCTCGACTTGCTCGAGACATTTCTCATCACTCACCCGCATCTTGATCACATCAGTGCCCTCGTCGTCAACACATCGGCCCTCCCCGGCGGTCCCCGCGCCAAAAAGGTCGCCGGCCTGCCCATGACCATCGAGGCCCTCAAGAACCACGTCTTCAACAACGTCCTCTGGCCTAATTTGTCAGACGAGAACCAGGGCGCCGGACTCATCACCTACCTCCGCCTCGTCGACGGCGGAAGCCCTGCCATGGGCCAGGGGCATGGCAAAGGCTACGTCGAGGTCGGCCTGCATCTCTGTGTGAAAGCTGCTTCCATCTCACATGGTGCCCCCGTCGACGTCACCCGCCCGGCACGCGGCTCACACTCCTCTGCCACAGGCACACCAGTCCGCTACTCATCCTTCGACGCCTCCTCCATGACACCCTCGCACTCGCAGACGCAGCTCCACCAGCAGCAGCACCAGTACCACCACCATGGCCACGGCTCACATCCGCACCACCCCCATCACGCCCTGCACAACTCCCACATCGCTTCGCCCCGGTCCATCCAGCAACCCTCGCCCTCCCTCGTCCCAGGCCACCGCGCCTCCTCTTTCCCTCTGGCAGGCTTCGGCAGCAGTGCCGCCGCCCCCGCTCCCCCCGGCACCCCAGGCCAGTCCATGCCCATGCTGGGCGAGCCGCAGCTCCCCCTGGCCCCCGTGTACGACTCGACGGCCTACTTCCTGCGCGACTCCAAGACCGGCTCCGAAGTCCTCATGTTCGGCGACGTCGAGCCCGACCGCCTCTCCCCCTTCCCCCGCAACCGCGGCATCTGGGAGGAGGCCGCCCCCAAAATCGCCCGCGGCGACCTCCGCGCCATCTTCATAGAGTGCAGCTACGACGACAGCCACCCGGACGATTACATGTTTGGCCACCTCAAGCCGGAATACATCGCCGACGAAATGCGCACCCTCGCCGAGCTCGTCGATCTGTGCAGGAATCCCCTGGAAGCCACCCTCCCCGACGGCGCCCGCGACAGGGATGCCATGGCCGCGACGCCACCCTCCGGGCCGATGCTGCTCCAGTCGTTTCGGGATAAGAAGCGGAAGCGCCAGAACTCAAACGTCCCCGGCCAGCTGTTCCGGCGCAGGACGGGAGACAGCGGCGGCGAGGCCGTCAGCCCAAAGACGTGCCGCGGCCGTAACGACTCGGCCGTCAGCGGCGAGCTGGACCTCGCCGCTCCGGCGTCAGCACCCGCCTCGGCACCGGGCCCCTCCCACACACCGCACCTCGCCACCCCCACAGCAGAACTCACCCTCCGCGACGTCGAAGCCCGCGACCCCACACAGCCCGCCGACCTCGCCGCCGCAGACAGTATCCTCGAAGACGAAGCCGATGCCGCGGCAGACGCCATGCGCGCCCCCCCCCTCGATGGCCTGCGCGTCGTCATCATACATATCAAGGATACCCTCGACGGCACAGACCAGGGGGCCCGTATCCTCGACGAGCTGCGCGAGCATGAGGCAGAGCAGCCCACGGGGGTGGAGTATATCATTTCAAAGCCGGGGATGAGTATTCTCATTTAGGGGGAAGCTCCCAGGCGGGATATATCGCGATGTGAGGAAAGGAAAGAGGGGGAGCACGTCACTTTGCAGCAAAACGGCCCGCGTGCCCGGCTGGCGTTTGGGAAGCGAGGGGAGGGCGCGAGCTTTCGGATTTTTGTGATTTGAGTTTGATTTGGAAATGAAATCTTGGACAGCAAAATGATGAGCTTCCTTCGTGAGAGTCATGATATTCAGTCTACAAGGGCATAGGCCACGACAGCAAAAATACTGACCACCGCAGGGCTCGAACCTGCAACCTCCTGATGAAACTACTGATCGTAGTCAGATACTCTGCCAATTGAGCCAGGCGGCCTATTTGATGAGAAATTGTTGGATAGGCAAGAATATGATGGTGGTGGCGCTAGGAAAAGTCTGCACGTTGGTGTGGGCGCCGGTGTGGGGCGCGGAACGGACGACACCATGGAAGTTGGGAAGCTGGCATTGTCAGGGGTACTGGTCTTTCGCTACGGCTGCTAATTCCCCCTTTCTCTCTATCCACATTTTGTTCTCCTCAAGTTTCAAGAAACACCTCGCAAGTCTGTGTTCACGACGAGGTCATCCCGCCCCTTGAGGTGGACCACAATAGTCAAGCCCTCGATGCCCAGACCCTCATCGGCCCCCGTGTCATCCGCTCCAGAGACCTCGTGGCTCTGGGCTCCCTCGCGTAGCACCTTCTCCGCCTTGAGCTGCCGTACCTCGGCCGTGAGGTCCATGTACCGTGTCCGCCATGCGCACGTGTGGTTTGGCGGCATGATGGGCACAGGGCTGAGCATGTCTTCTCCCCTTTCCACCCTTCGCTCGGCAACCGGTTCCGCCGGCGGCGAGAACTTGCCTATGCTTGAGTCGGATGCGAGCGCCTCTTCCACCTCGGCGACTGTCAGAGGCCGCTTCTGGTAGGCCTTGGGTCGGTACGGAAGGAATAGCTCGTCCGGATCGTATGGCTGCCCTGGAACCGGCGTGCCAGGATGGGAGCTGTGCGAAGCCCTGGCATCTCCGTCTGGTTCCTCACTTTCTGGGTGTGCCATACCGGGACTGCAGTTGACGCACCCCTTTTGTCCGTTCCTACCTCCGCCGGCCTGTGAATTTTCCGACTCTTCCTGCTCGGGCCTGGTGACCTTGCGAAGTTGACGGCGACGGAACTCGGGCTCCTCATGTGCAGCGTGACGAGGAATGTCACTCATCTTTTCGATTCTCCGCAAAGGTTTGTGATGCCAGGGAAGGCCTTGTGGTTTGCCCTCTGAGCGAGGCGCCTCAGCTTCGGCATGCTTGTGGACTGGCGTCTGCTTCTGTGGTGTCGCCATGCCACTGCTCATGAGCGGCGACGAGGCAGGGCGCTTCGGTTGATCCTGGACTGGCTGTACTGTTTCAATCTGGTGCAGGCTCTCCCGTGGGTTGCCTGGAGCTTTCTCGGCCTTCAGGAGCCACGCCGGAGTTTTTGAGAGGCGGACCTTGGGAACTG